TGGATCATTAAACTTTTATTGTACTATCAAAAATCCACTCAGGTTAGTAGTTGGCCCTGTGGGCTTGGGACCATGGTCACAGGGGACATCAAGCTCAAATTGGCATAACATACTGCACAAAAATATTGTTTTACATCCTACTTTGGCAAGTAGTGACTCGGATCATAAAAGCTTGCAAGCGGCCATCTAGATGCAACAATGGGTGTCTCCTCATCCAGAGCAAAGAAGAATGAAGAAAATCAAAGACACATGGAAACAATTAGTCCAAGGGACTGGGACACCATGTGATACTCAGTCTATATGACTATGAGACCAGAAGAACTAGATGCTGCCTGGCTACCACTGTCAACCACTCGGAAGGGGGATCTCTGTAGGAGATCCTGGACAGAGTGGGAGGGGAGAACAATGTGGAACAAAACTCAAAATCTCACACACACACACACACAAAAGGGACCAGGTTTGCTTGTCTGATAGAGCCTGGTGGAACCTGAGACTATGTCCCCTAGCTGCCCTTCAGGTCTGGACTTGAACCATTCTTGTGGCTTCCAGCCAAACAAAAGACAGGCATATGAGCTGAATGTTTAGATTTGGTAATACACTCCTTGGAGAGATCAATCATGGGAGAATAGAAGGGCTGTGTATGCACAGGGAGATAGCTCAGGGGGCAGGAGTGCAGGGGAGGGAAGGGCACAGGGAAGAGGTAACTATGGGGAAGAAGTGGGAGGAGAGCTATGGCATTGTGGGAGATTACAGTCAATGTCATGAGACAAAGTGTATGTGAACTGCTATATGGAAGATGAATTTGCTCTGTGTACTTTCACCCAAATCACAATAAATTTTTTTTTTAAAAAGAACAACAAAAAAGTCCACTCAGATTATAATACAAAACATTTTAACTTTTTCCATTTCAAAGGATTTTCATACTTATTATTTATTCCTAACCAAAGTAATCAAGGAATGTTTGGGATCATATTTAGAGACCACCTCTCCTAAGGAGTACATATTTAGTTTCTACATTGCTATGCACTGAATTGTGTTCCCCAAAGGTTTATGTTGAAATCCTCACCTCTGGTAACTGTGATAAGACCTTGTTTGAGAATAGGTTCTATGAAGCTGTTATCAGTTAAATTAGTTAATATAAGACCATAGTGGAGTAAGATGGGTCCTAATCCAATCTGAACGGTGCCTCAAAAAAGCGAAGAGACAGACAGAGGAAGAACACCATGTGTCTAAGGCGTTATGCTGCAGCATCAAGCCAAGGAAAGCCTGGAGCTACTAGAAGCCAGAAAAGACAAGAAAAAGCCTCCCCTTAGGGCCCAGAGAGAGAGAGAGAGCCTGCTGTGCTGACTCACTGAGCTGGATTTCTAGTGCAAAACAGTAAGCAATAAATTTTGGTTGTTTAGAGCCACCCACGTTGTAGTACTTTATTTTGGCAGCCACAGGACACTAATACAGAGTTCTTAAAGATCTTTTGTCCCTCAAACTCTTTTACTCAATTAACATTTATTCAATATCCCCTAGGCATCTATGTCAAAGGTCAGGAATATTATCAGTAAAAGATATTTATGAAGTGGTTGCAAGAACCAATCATTCAGCAAAAATTTCCTGAGTGCCACCTATGTAGCAACCACTCACCTAGTAGAATTAGTGCTTCAGAAGACCTGGCCCCCATCACCCCAAAGGGACTCTCAGAGAAATGCCTCTTGGAGGAAAATCATAAAAGATTGAAAAGGCTTACTATTAAATGCTGCAGAATCACAGGACTCAGGGCATCTGCAAATGTTCTCTTTTCCCACCAATGACACCAAACGATAAGCAATCTCATCTATCATGCTAAAAAGTTCAGATGGCCACCTGCTTTTAAATACTTACTAAACACTGTTTCACTAACTCTCTTGGTGAGCACATTCTGATTTTTATACATTCTTACAGGAGAGACTGGAGGGCAGGACAGGGGCTGTTAGTGGGTGGAGACAGAACAGAAGAAGTGTGAAACAGAGAAAAAGAAGGGAGTGTAAGAAACAGAAACCATTTTGCAAAAAGGAATCTGAAGTTCAGGAACATAAACATTCCTGAGCTTATGACACGATGTGGAGAATTATGGATAGCACTTTCATTTAATCAAGGATTTCAGGACTTAATGGTGGCTGAACTGAGGAACCCTTACTAAAGGGATCAATGTGTTCTGGGAGTGTCAAAGGAAAGTCAGAGAAGGGCTTCCACGAGCAGACTAGCCGTCTGTCTTTCTGCCCTGCTTTTATGGAATTATCCTAGTTTCCTTTGTTCTGCAGGTTTTCTAAGAACAGAAATTCACCCTGGAGTTTCAGAGCTACATGCTGTACTGAGTTCATTCCATGCTTTGGAACAGAACAAACCCAAATAAAGAGGCCAAACAGAACATGCTCTTTCTGAATAAAACAACATTCCTTCCCAGCAGACTACTATGATGTTGAGAAATAATCTAATAGCAGAGTCCAATTTTGAGTACATGAAGCTTGCTCAATGAATTCAGCATGTTCTCTCAGGGAAGATTCAGGCCTCAAGGAAACATCTGTCTGTCCTCCCAGCAGTCACTTACACTGTCTTTACCAGATGTTCTGACTCTGATCCAGGAACAAACACAGGCCAAAATTCCCTTGACTCAAAGGTGGTTAATTAATCTCTCCCAAATTCTACATCTTGCCAAATGTGTATGCAGGAAAATTCTGGGCAGAGTCTCATCTATTCAAGAAATACAAACATATTTAAATAACTAAAAATTACTGTATGTGATATTCATTAATGGACTTGGAAGATGAAAAAAAGAAGAAAGAAGAAAAGATTCTCTATATGAATTGAAATGAGAGCCCATTTTCCATCTTTTAGATTGGCAAAAAACAAAATGATTGATGACACCAGCTGCTCAGAGGATGGGGGAGAAAGATACTTTTGTAACCAGTTGTTAAGAAAATTAAGTAGTACAATTTCTCTGAAGAACAATCTGACATTCTCTATTAAAATAAAAAAGAAATACACAAGTACTTTGATATAGAAGTTCCATCACTGGGAACCTAGTGTATGGCTAGATCTACAATCTACAACGATTTTCATTACAACGCTTATAAAAAGAAATAAACAAATCATGGTACTTTTATATGACAGCATAGCAAAAAGCTATTAAAAAGAAAGAGTTAGATGAATGCAAGCTGATATGAAAAAAGATCTCTAGAAGAAAAAGGCAAGTTGAAAAATAATTTGTACACATACAGAATTTTTCACATATAATGCACCCATGCATATCATATACATAGTGAGCATAGGAAACTAACATTTGAGGGACTTGTGCGTTATTTGCACAAAACACAGTAGATTACTTTTATTTTCAAGAAATGTTATGGAGAAATCATGGGCTATGAATTTGTTTTTTTTAAATTTGTACTGGCCTGTTTTAAAAAATAAGACCAAATGTTTTTTTAAAAGAAATAAGAGAAATTTTTAATTTTTACTAAGTCTATCGAGCACTATTAATTTCTAGAGAGACACAAGAAATTGTTATCCTGGCACTTCTTGGAAGTGGGTGGGACTTGGGGAAAGCAGGAAGGAGAAGGAACACTTTTACATTTCACTTTTATATCTGTCTGAACTATTTGAGATTTTTTAATTATAAGCATATGCTGCTTCCATAATTTAAAAAATACTGAAAAGTAAAATACAAAACAAGTAATAACAAGAATATTAAAAAACAAAACCATAAACATATTAGAAGGCTTCAAAGTTAACGCTTGCAATGGATAAATTTTTAAAAACATTAAAAAAATAAGGAAAATAAAGGAAAAGAACCACATGATCATATCAATCTATGCAGGAAAGGCACTGGATGAAATCCAACACCTGTTCCTAATAAAACCTCTCAGAAAAATGGGAATAGAAGAAAAATTCCTCAACATGATAAAGGGCATATATATACAAAACCAACAGCCAACATTATTTTCAATGAAGAGAGACAGACACATGAAGAAAAATGTTCATGATCATTAGCCATTGTTGTTGTTGTTGTTATGTGCCGTTGAGTCAAATCTGACTCATAGCAACCCCTCCTTGGGTTTCCGAGGCAGTATCACTACAGTAGATTGCCCAATCTTCCTTCTGAGGAGTGGCTGGTGGGTTTGAACCGCCAGCCTTCTGGTTAGCTGTCAAGTGCCTTAGGCACTATGCTACCAGAGCTACTCATTAGCCACTGGAAACAACCATGAGATAATATCTCACCCCAGCACTAACAGCAAAGTTCATCAAGACAGTAAAGAACAAATGCTGGTGAGGATGTGGAGTAATAGTGATTCTCACACACTGCTGGTGAGACTGTCAAATGATACAACCACTGTGGAAAGCAGTATGGCAATTCCTTAAAAAGCTGGAATTAGAAGTACCATTTGACCCAGCCATTCCATTAGTAGGTATATATCCTAAAGAAGTGAGAGCCAGGACAAGAACAGATATATGCACACCAATGTTCATGGCAGCACTATTCACAACAACAAAGGGATGGAAATAATGTAAATGCCCATCAATGGAGGGAACAGAAAACCAAATTGTGGTACATACACACAATGGAATACTATGCAACACTAAAAAAAATGTAGAATTGGCAGAACACTGCATAATGTGGATGGACCTGGAGGACATTATGCTGAGTGAAGTAAGTTAATCACAGAAGGACAAATATTATACTAGTTCACTATTGTGCAAAGTCAAGGAAAGGTTTATATATGGAAGGAAACTTTCTTTGTTGGTTACCAGGGATATGAAGGGAGGGGAGGGAACACTGCTAGATAGGTAGAGACAAAAAAAATTAAGACCTCAGGTAAACATGATTGATTATCCAGCATTCAATGCAAAGAAGACCGTACTTTGCATATCTTCTTAAGAGACAAATGAACTTTGTACTTCTGCTGGGGGTCACAAAGGCTTTCCATGGTGACTTAGTACAAAGCGTCACTATGGAAAGTAAAAGCGCCACTTACTTGCTGTTCAATGCTCCTCCAAGGTCGCAGTCACAAGGTCGACATCCATCCAAATCATTGCTTAAACCCCAATGTTCTGGCTGCAGAATAAAAGATGACACATCTAAAGTTAGGTTCCTGTAATTATATAATAAACTCGGTAAGAAACAAGTTATGGCGTGTTTTGGTTGTTTCACCGAACATTCATTTTCACTGGGAAAGCAGAAAGCTCACAAAAGGAATGATTATTCTGAAATAAAGAACCCTGAACTGTGGGTCCCTGGAGTCAGAGCAGATTATGTATAGCCACATGACAATGCCAGATCACATCAAGTAGGCCTCACCCAGTAATTAACATCAGCACGCAGTAAAGATGCTGATTTTGTTCATCAGAATTTCCCTGGCAGTTAGATATATTTTGGCAAATATCTGGCAGGTGTTTAAATTTTCCTAATTCAGTCTGTCATAAACCCTATAAGGAAAACCCTTTTGGATTTATTTATGTGAAACCACAGAATAAAACTAGAACTGCTCTCACAACTGGGGGGAGGAGAATGACGGAGTCTTGATGAAGAGAGATGAGACAGAATCTATACAGGGGAGATCTCTTTGTACCTCAACAAATGCATGTTTCCTAAGGAGCAGCTAACAACCAAGTTTACCAACTTACATCAGAATCGACTTTAAGAATCTATGACGATGTGTGTGACAAAATGTACACATGTGTGGTCATAAGCATCATCTGGAGCCAGTGCATATCTTTCCCAAATTAAAAAAGAAATACATGAATGCTACAAAAGACACAGACATTGTGAAAAAATCACTCCTCTAATTGCCCCACTCAGAATAGTACTGTGAATATTTCGGTGAAGTTCCTTCCAGATTTTGTTTTTCTTGGTTCATTTTTTGTCCCCTACGTAATCAAGATACTATGCACATCCTGTGTTTTTTCCCCATTAACAGCATAAACATTTCCTCATGTTATTGTCATTTTCAATGGCAGCCAAATATTACATTGTATAGAAGCCCTAAATTCACTTCATTATTTTCCCACTGTTCCTTCCAAGCCTTTAGACATGATTAATAAAATAAGCAATGAATCTTATGCTGAATACATCTTTGCCCAATTTCCTGATTATTTCATGATCATAGAATCCCAGAAGTGGGATTACTGGGTCAAAGGGTATGGTCATTTCTAACAGCTACAGATACATATCACCAATGGATGAACTATTTGGATTTCCATTAGCAGCATATAAGCACCAGAACCTTAGTATATCATCACTAACATTACGTGATATGATCCTTTTAAATTTTTGTTAATTTTTTCTGCAGAGATAGTATTCCACTGTGGTTTTCATTTATAATTCTAAAAGTGATGGTGAACATTTTCTCAAATTATTTATTAGTAATCCCTCTTTTATAAATTTTCTACTCATGTCTTTTAACAGTGATGGTAGAAACTAGTGACAAAAAGCATTCACTATTAAAAGTGTGACATTCACAAGCTACCTGACCCAGGTAATTAGGATTTACCTACCAGACACTGGTCACAATGCTGTCCGGTCACCAGACGCTTACAGTAGCAATAACCGGTCTCAGAATCACAAGGATTCCCTCCAGGAATTGTCCCCAGAGGATTACAAGCACAAGCTTTATTAAAGACAGAAAGAAACAGCAAACACAAAGTAAGTGAGTCTGAAGTAGTAGTTTGGGATTTAGAGTTGCCAAGTAAAATAAGAATTATCTCTATAGCAGAATGTAAAATAATTACACACAGGCAGACCTCGAAGATATCATGGGTTCAGTTTCCAACCATCACAATTCACAAAAAGTGAATATTGCAACAAAGTAAGTCACACAAAAACCGGTGCATATAAAAGTTATGTTTACACTATGTTGTAGTCACTATGAGTAGGATTCGACTTGCAGCAGTGAGTTTCGGTTTGTTTATACACACACACACACACACATTTTTAGCAAAATGTACTTACATTTACAACCAAATGGATCTTCAGTACTTAAGTCATAGAAGCCTTCTTTGCAAGCATCACAGTGTTCTCCTTCCACGTATAATTTACACCGACACTGACCAGCAATGAGACCAGCAGAAAAATCAGTGTAACTGTCACAAACTCCCCCATTCTGAGAACCAGCTGGGTCACAGGTACATTCTAAGAATGGAAAGCACCAGGTTAAGAGAACCAGGAAATGTAATGCGTGTTCTTGTACAAATACATGTTTCTTTCATCACTCCAAATCCCACAGAAGCAGACCAAAGAAGGCTTGACTACCAAGTAAATCCCACTCCCAGAATCCTATGTAGCAAATCAAATAACAATGCTGGGTGTGATAGTACTTACTAACTCCAAGAGAAGGGTGCTAACTACCACACTATTCCATCTGACTGCTAACCAGAAACAGGTCCCACAGAGTGGCATTCCCCAACGTACGTTCACAGATATTAGGATCTCGAATATCTCTCTCTGGGTGCTGGTAGTAGAACGGCTTGCACTGCTCACAATTGCGGCCCATTGTGTTGTGCTGACAATCATCGCACACTCCTCCACTGGTGTTTCCAGTTGCCAAGTACACAGCCATGTCAAAGTGGCACGAGCCAGAATGTTCGTTGCAGTTACATTCTGCGTGGAGAGACCAATGTCAAGCAAAGCCTTTTAAATCTATTTACTAGTGTGAGGGTGGGGGTGAAAGGAAGGGAGCTCCTTTTTGAAATTAAGAGATTAAGTTTAGGCAAAAAGGCAATTAACAAGAGGCATTCAGGATGCAAAAGGACATGTCTACTTATGACATTGGTTTAAACTTTCAATTATGCCAGAAGCCTTAAAAGCATGAAATTTATGAATAAACACAATTATCTGCCCTCCTTGGAGAGAAGGGGCTATTAAAAACAGAAAATCTTTTGGGAAAGTTCCTTTAAAATCTTATCAGCAGTAGGAATGGTGCCCTCCCATAGAGGATGCCTATGGGTTCCACTTGAAATGGGGCTGGATTGAAACACGTTATGTCAAAGGACTTTCCAGATGACACGTTCCTGGGATCCCTGCTTTGAGGACCATGTTTGTGAAGGACTGAGGCCCTTCCTCCCCATTCCCACCACCACCACACTCAGCCAGGCTCTTAAATAAGAATTAAGTAAGACTTGTTTAACAGCCTCCTAGCCAGCTTCTTGAAGGCAGTCCTTGCTCCTCTAACCCACTCAGCAGAGGCATCTTACTCTATCTCACTTTAATCATCTCACTCTCCTGCACAGCGACCCATGTGGACTCCTCTTCTCTTCTCACAGCAAACCTTAACTCAGCCTGGCCATCATGGGGCTCCACATGTAACCTTCCACCTTGTCTGTCCTCCCTCTTGCGACACAACATCCTACCAAAGGGACTGTGTCTCATCCACTGCTGTATCTTCAGTGTCTAGCAGGATCTCGTCCACAGTTGTTGTTTTTAGGTGCCGTTGAGTCAGTTCCAACTCACAGCGACCCTCTGTACAATAGAACACTTACAGTACATCACTTATATTTAAACCTCTGGATCATTTCCCAGCCTAAGCACTCTGGTGGTCACGAGAATGTCCCGTGCCTCATGTTGTTCATTTCATTTGAACATCCCTCTTCCTTTCCTCCTCTCTCTCTCTCTCTGTCACTCTCTGTCTTCTGTTTCCCTAAACAACCATAGCTATTTATCAAATGCCAGCTCACTCCTACCCACCTACTAACAAGCTCTGACCACTCTTCTTCTAGAACAGTTTGCAGAACAGTCTTCCAGTGGAGCAGAGGCAGGCAAGGCAGGCATGCTCCTTGAGTGGAGAAAAGTATATCAGATTCACTGTGTCCATGTGTGGGGAGGAATCACAGGGTGTCAAATGACACCACTGCCCAGAGAATATCCCCGGGATGGATGGATGGATGGATAAAAGTTAGATGCTACTGCCGGGCTGGCATGGAATCAAGGCCAAAAACTCTTATAATCTCCTCCATATCTCTTATACCATATTGGTCTGCTATGCCACATTTTCCTTTCGTTTCTTTTTCTCATGAACATCTTTGCAGAAAAACAGGGACAATGTCAGGGGCAGTGTCTCAGGCTCTTACTTTGTCTACCAAAGCACCTGGATCAGTACCAAACATAGTTCCCGCTCAGAAAGCACTACTTTCTAATTTAGTTCAGTGGGACTGTTGGCCTCCTAGGAGCGTCAGGCTGAAGCTGGGAAAAGAATATTAACTTTCCTTCCTTCTGAAAAATGGTGCACTGTTATAGTACCACTAATCAGAAAATGGATCCTAGAGTCCAAATTAATTCCAGTGTCCCTTCTACTGAGACTTACTTTTACAGGCATTGCTGTTTCGCCCCTCAGCGGGTCTCCAGGGTAAGTCGTGGTAGAAGTCCATGCAGAGCTCGCAGTTTAAGCCCTTGGTGTTATGCCTGCACATGCAGTGCCCGTGCACCTGAAAGTCACAAAAACAGGATGGAGCAAAGTAAGGGGTATGTGAATGGCCAGATAAACATAAACCTTCTTTCATACTAATCTCCAGCTCACCACAGTGAGGGCTTCTTTGCCTTCATGTTGTCCTTTCTCCCCGGCCCCAGTGAGTTTTATCTGTCTTGCTTACAGCTATCACTCCTGTCTCTAGAAAAGCTCTCATGACATCATAGATGCTCAAGAAATATTTCATCAACTTCTGGTGGTGCAGTGGTTAAAACATTTGACTGCTAGCCAAAAGGTTGGTGGTTTGAATGCATTAGTCACTCCATGGGAGAAAAATAAGACAGTCTGCTTCCACAAAGGTTTACAGCCTTAGAAACCCTCGAGGGCAGTTCCACTCTGTCCTATAGGGTCACTATGAGTTGGAATCAACTCATTGGCACTGGTTTTGGTTTGGTTTATCTATGAAAAGACTCATATGAACAAAATTAGTTACTTAAGAATTTTTTTTAAAAAAAACAAAACTAGTTACTTAATATTAAAAAAAAAATTAATAGAAATATGTAGAAGTTGGGAACCAAGTTATGTTACTGCAAGTTTTACTGTTATGCCATATAACACAAAGGTTGCTTTTTGTTTGTTTTGCTTTGATGTTAACTTCAAGACAGCACAAAAAAACTTTCAACCAAAGTGAGATTTTAAAAAATTAACCATTTACCATATTTATATACATATTTTTTCTCTTAGGTAAAAATATAAAAATCTCAGATTTGCTTTATCAAAGGGCCTATGATACACCATTTTGAATCGTGTCACTACAAGACACACTTAAGATCCTGAGATATACGAACGATAAATAAGCACCTTTGGTCCACAAAATACTCATGTAGACAGGCACCGCACTTTAACAGTGCTTTCTGTAGAATGGAATTCAGAAACAGGACAGACAGGTCCATCCTGGTCCCACCTTGATAGGAGTGCACTTAGCAAAAGACTAAAACCCTCGGATTACAAGGTGATTTTACACAGAAAGAAAAGCAGTTCCAAAGCACACGCAAGACTCATCTGAGTAAACAGTACAACATGCCGTGAGAAGCATGATAGTGACATGACACACCAGACTAGTTACACTGCAAGGTAAATATAACCTACCCAGCATTCTCAAAGATGCAGCAACAAGATTAGAGAGACACAGCCCTCCCTTCAGGCTCTGTTAAAAATTCACCTCTATCTCCGTCTTAGGAATTCTCATTGGAATGAAGGACAGGCAGACATTTTAGAAGGGCTGAATCCTCTCAATCCTGCACCTTCTTTGTCAAGGACTAATACCTTTTGAAAAGGCAAACAGCAAGTGAGCAATGCACACTCGTCATTATGGAGACCCAGATAAAAAAATGTGGTGCATCCATTAGATGGAATTTCAAAACCTATGGCCACTGAGTGATTTCTGACTCACAGCAGCCCTACAGGACAGAGCAGAACGGCCTCCAGGGCTTTCAAGTTTGTAATCTGTAAAAGCAGACTGCCGTGTCCTTCTCCCATGAATAGCTGGGGGGTTTGAACCACCGACTTTTCTTTTTAAAAAAACATTTTATTGTGATTTGGGTGAAAGCTGGCAAAACAAACCAGTTTCCACAATTCACAGACATTTTGTTTCATGTCATTGATTGCAGTCCTTCAATGTAACATCACTCACCCCATTTCCTCTGCTTCCATTTCCATTCTTCCTCCTTTCCTAACGCTTCCTGCCTTCTGTACTTTGTCCTTGCGTTGTTGCTGTTAGGTGCTGTCGAGTCATTTCCGACTCATAGCAACCATGCACAGCAGAACAAAACACCACCCGATCCTGCGCCAGCTCCACGATCCTTGCTATACTTGAGCCCACTGTCACAGTCACCATGTCAATCCATCTCGTTGAAGGTCTTCCCCTCCTTCATCTACCCTCCACTGTACCAAGCATGATATCCTTCTCCAGGAAATGGTCCCCTCTGACAACATGACCAAAGTAGGTGAGACGAAGTCTGGCCATCCTCACTTCCAAGGAGCATCTTGGCTGCACTTCCTCCAAGATAGATCTGTTAGTTCTTTTGGCAGCCCATGTTACATACCTTCAGCATTCTTCACCAGCACCACAACTCAAAAGCATCAACTCTTCTTCGGTCTTCCTTATTCATTGTCCAGCTCTCACATGCATAGGAGGCAATTGG